AACCCGGCTTCAATTCCTCCGTCCCTCTCGGAGAGCCCAGCAAGCTACCGAGAGTATCCCGCCCGCACAGCAGAGCCTGGCAAGCTCCCCATGGTGTATTCGATATGCCAAACACAGTAACAAGTCTCACAATGGAGATGTTACCGGTGCCCACTCGAGCATATCGATGAACAAAGGGAGGACAGTGCTACAGTGCTAACCCTAACATTAACTCTAACCCAAAAACTATAAAGAGACCTAAACCATACCTAGCCTTGGTCTAACCCTACCAAATACTCTAAAATTCACATATCCTAACTTTATTTCTCAACTTCTACCATTACCTAACTATGACTTTAAGGTTAATCCTATTTAAAACCTAATCCTGTCTTTTAAAATCCTATCTCCAAACAGGATTATAGTCTGTAGTAATGGGTTTAGTACTTCAACATATTGTTTTGCAGAGAGGACACAACTGGTTTCTATAATAAGGACTTTTATAAGTCCACCATTTTTATTGAGGTACCAGGATTTGCAATACTGTTAATTATACTTTTGTGAATATATCATTCAAACACCACATCCATTACTATCGTGCCCTCTTTGTTTCTGTAAAGGTAAAGGTAAAGGTAAAGGCCCTCCCGTTGTTCGTCGATTTGCTCGAGCGGGCCCAGTAACGTCTCCATTGGAGACTTTGTTGTTACTGTGTTTGGCATATCGAATACGTCATGGGGAGCTTGTCAGGCTCTGCCGTGCGGGAGAGATACTCTCGGTAGCTTGCCGGGCTCTCCGAGAGGGGCGGAGGAATCGAACTCGGGTCGGCCATATTGGCTGCGTGCAAGGCAAACGCCCTACCGCTGTGCTATCGCTCCAGCTTTGTTCCTGTAATATACCAAAGACCCCTCTCAGCTACACCCCCTCCACAAACATGTAAGCTCAGTTCTGTGAACATAATCACCAGTTCCAATGGTTTTGGTTATTTGCTGTTCCCTTACTATGTCTCTTTATATCTCACATCTGAGAAAGAATTTGTTTAGGGGCTGGAGTGATAGTACAGCAGGTGGAGTATTTGCTTTGCATGCGACAATCCTGGATTTGATCCCTGGCATCCTCTATAGTCCTCCAAGCACTTCCAGTAGTAATTCCTGAGCGCAGAGCCAGGAGTAACCCCTGAGCATCACCGGGTGCGACCCAAAAAAAGCAAAAAAAAAAAGAATTTGTTTTAATTTATTGTGGAGGTGGTGACATACACATATATAGATGAATCAAACTAAACTCCTGAAATTCCATAAAATTGTAAATCAGTGGTAAATTAATCAAAATATTTCCAAAGATTATAGATATTTTAAAGAGGTATATGCAACTGTAAAAAATAGTAAAAACACTTCTATGCTAATAAGATTTTTTAACTTAGGTGAAATAGATAAACTCGTGGAGGCTGCCCCAAAAGTTTCCACCCCTCTCAGAGAGCCCGGCAAGCTATTGAGAGTATCCCGCCCACATGGCAGAGCCTGCCAAGATACTTGGGGTGTACTCGATATGCCAAAAAACAGTAACAATGACAGTCCTCATTCCCCGACCCTAAAAGAGCCCCCAATATGCCATTGGGCTACACTAGCACGTGACAGGGATGAATGGAGACGTTACTGGCGTTCACTCGAGCAAATCGATGAACAACAGGATGATAGTGATAATGATAAATTCTACAAGTAAACAATTTAGTAAAAGAAAGATGACTTTTTTTTAGTTTAAGGGAAAATATGCTTAGAACTATAAAGTATAAAAGTATGCTTTATCCTAAAAAGTGTATATGACTTCACGCTAGAAAATAGTATATTGTAAAAGAAAAATAGTACATTATAGATAATGCTTAAGCACCTGAATTAATAAGGAAAAGATTGTATTAAAATAGCTATAGATTTTTACTTTCTGAGTGATCAAAAAGTGTGGGTATTGGGATGGGTTTTGGAACACTGTATGACTGAAACTTAATTTTGAACAGCTTTGTAAAGATCTATCTCACAGTGATTCAACAATAAAATCTTTTTTAAAAAGTGTGGTGATGCAACAGGTTCAGATCAGACAGTAACTTTGAATCTTGATCTCCTGGTTGCTTGTTTCACTGTGGACATGATACTTTCTTTACTCTCTTACATAATTTATTTGCAGTAAAGAATAATAAGGCTAGGGGATATGATGCCGCCAGCAGGTCAATTTGTACCTGTGAGGCAAGTGCATCAGCAGCCTGATGGCACTGTCAGGCTTTCAGATACCCCAAAATTGCTGCTGTGCCTTTGGCCAGACCCCAACAACTTGGGGCAAAGTTTACCAAGAAAGTAAATGGTCAAAAATTAGGTATGTGGGAGACACACCCACAAATCACCTCTGGCTCAGCTATATAATTGGAGGCATGGCCTCTCCGGTTCCTGATCGAACTACTTAACGGCCATGATCCCAGAGACTCAGAAACGAATCTCAGAACCCAAAGGCTTCTTGGCAGAAATGCATCCTGTTCCTGCAGTAGGTTACTGGCACTGGGCCACTTCAGGTGGGAATAGGTTTCGTGCCTTGGCCTGTTCCCCTTGACGGCCCAGTGACCACCATCCTCCTGAGGCCACTGGACAGTCAGGTTTGGGCCTGCAGTGACGAGACACATGGGGCCTCACCAGATGGGGGTGGAAGCAGCCCTTTCCTCCCCATCCCAGCAAGACCCCAAGTCCAAGTTGCTGCCTACAAACGGCCTCTCTGGCTCCTGTTCAAGCTAATTAACGGCCATGATCCCAGAGACTCAGAAACAAATCTCAAAACCCAGAGGCTTTTGGCAGAAATGCATCTGGGCTGCATACAAGGTGGCCGCTGCCTCAGAGCTTCTTGGAAAGCCAGGTATGAGCCGGTGGTGACAGGGCAACTGCAATCTCATGGGAAGGGGGGTGGTACCGGCTCATCCTTCTTGCCCTACCAAGGTCATGAGTTGCCCCGTACGAGCGACTCTCCGGCACAGCCATGGCTCCAGAGGCAAAAAGACTTAATTCAGAGTCTGGCAGCTTGCGGCAGAAAAGTGAATGGACCATGCATTAAACTACAGCTCCATGCTTCCCCAGGAGGGAAAGGGTGTTGCTCCCTTCCACCTTTTACCCACCCAGCAGCAAGGTGGCCGCCGCCTCAGAGCTTATTGAAAAGCCAGGTATGAGCCAGCGTTGACGGAGCAACTGCAGTCTCATGGGAAAGGGGGCGGTACCAGCTCATCCTTTGTGCCCTACCGAGGTCACAAGTTGTCCCCCCAAGAGCGGATCTCTGGCACAGCCATAACACCAGATGCACAGAAATCAATCTCGTAATTATCTGGCTCTTTGCAGGAATCCAAAATCGCTAGGCTGCTATTGCAGCCACACGAGATTATATGATTCTCATAACCAGCTATAGAAAACAAAGCATTTCACAATGCCTTTTCAGCAATTCTGATTGTTGGCGGGGGGGATTCTAAACAATTATGGTGCATTTTTCGTTGAAATAATGAATGTAATCAACATAGAGAAGAGTTAAGTGGAAATCATCTGCCTCACAGGCATTGGGAGGGGTGGGACGGGGTGTATATTGAGGTTTGGGGTGGCAAAAAATGAGTACTGGTGAAGGGAGAGGTGTTTGATCATTGTATGACCGAGACTTAAACCTGAAAGCTTAGTAACTTTTCCCACAGTGATTCAATAAATAAATATAAGAAAAATTTTAAAAATTTTTTAAAAAAGAATATTAAGGCTATCTACCTCAAAGGGCTATTGTGGTGGTCAAACACAATTCACTTAAGGTACACGGATTTGGCCAGGGCTGAAGCTCTGTAGTAGAGTACTTTTCTTATCAGTCAGGCCCTTGGTTAGATCCCTGGCAACCACACACACATAAAAAATCTAAGGGTTTGACATGGCAAAAGTTGGTAAGTTATATAAAACTCAGCTGTTGTTTTGTGCAATATTAACACTCGTGGGGGTAAGTACTGGTGAGGAGGGTTGGTGTGAGACTAGAACAGTGATCTCCAACCACCAGACATCAAGTGCAGAAAGGTGGAAAACCACGAACCTGGGTTACATTCATCAAGTTTAAGGCAAAGGCCTTTCTAGATTCCTCATATCAATAAGATGAGACACACGTGGATAGCCTGAGAAGTAGCGTCAGAGAAGAGGATTTGGGTTCAGGAGACTTCTCCTGAATAGGCTCTCAGGAGGAGCAGGTGCGGAAAGCAGAGAGCCGGGGAAGCTGTCCAGGCTGCAGATCAGTTTCAGCCAGAGAAGCTCAGAACACAAGTCTGTGCTTTGCGGATGGGCCCCCTGCGGCACAGAAGCAGGCTCTTACTACTGCAACCCCAGCCAGCCACCAACAGCTGCAGTCACGTGTGGGGGTGATACTAACCCTTCTGAGCCCAACATTTCCCATCAGTTAAGGGCAATTCGCTTCTGGTCCCTGTCGCCTCCCACAGTCCTGCAGCTAAAATCGGTCTGCATCTGGCACCCCACAGTGCTGCAGAGTCCAATCCCGCAGAGACTCCCTGACTCCCATGCTAAGGCAGCGTGAAGATCAAGATCGCTTAGTCCCTCGTAACAGAGACCCGGAGGGAAGTTCAGGCCAAACCCAGAATCCTCAGCGCAGACCTGCCAAAAAACACAAGTCTGAGGATGAAATCAGCTGCTGTGAGGAACAAATGAGGTACTGGGAAAGACATGAAGCTGGAGCCGGCGAGCGCGAGCGGGCAGGGGCCTGGTGGTGGGCTACCCCCGAGTGCGTGGTGGGGCTCTGCGGGGTCCCGGCCCGAGCGGGTGTACGGTGGGGGTCCGCGAGGGCGAGTCCACGGACCGTGGGGCGGGGAACGCAACACCACGACGCCGGGCTCCTGCGGCGCGCACAGCCGCTCCCTTGGCGCACTTCCGGCGCGCGGCGCATTTCCGGCGCACAGCGCACTTCCGGCGCGCGGCGCGCCCCTACGTCCTCGCCGCGGGCCGGGGCTGGAACTGGGCTCTGCAGACTGCGCCATGCGGCTCAGTTCTGGGACCTTCGCTGCCTGCTGCGTGGCGATCGAGGTGCTCGGCGTGGCAGTGTTCCTTCGGGGCTTTTTCCCGGTTCCCGTTCGTTCCGCTTCCAGGAGAGAGCACCGAGCGGAGGCTGCAGTGCCCGAACCCTCGGCTGGTACAGAGCGTTCCCGGGCGGCGGCTTGGCCCTCGCTCCGAGGCCCACCTCCTGAGCTTCTTCCCGGGCTGCGGGGGTCTTCTCTCCACCCACTGGGCCCTTCCTCTCTCCGTCCCGCGCAACGTCGTGACAGCGTCCACGCCCACTCTGATCGCGGCAGAATGGCGCCCCACACCCGAGCTCCGTCTCCTCCTTGCTCTGCTTGTCTTCCTGGCACGCCCTGCAGCACTCCCTGTACCCGGCACCCGTCCCACAAAAAGGCTCCAGCCTCCGCGCCCTTTTCGTTCTCTTCGAGGTCCTATTTCCAAGACCCCTTTGCCCCAGTGCCACTCCTCCGTGGACCAGATCCCAGCCGTCCTTCCTCGGCAGTAATGTACTGAGGCCTCCTGTGTAGGACCAGATCTCCCCGCAAAAGCCTCCCATTCCCGAACCCTCAAGTCGGGCCTTCCATGCCCTAGCAGCCCCATGCTAAGGCAGCTCCCCACTTGCTACTGGAACTCCCTGCGCTTGATCACTGCGCCCATCCTCCCCCCTACCCCCCACCAAGAAGGGCCCTTTTCCTTCGGGTGAGGATGTGTCGATGTGGTAAGATACATGCTGGAGAAATGGGCAGAAATTAGATTCTTTGGTGACAGAAAGCCAAAGTTTATGTTCCTTTTCTGGGGCTGGGGCGATAGGACAGCGGGTGGGGCGTTTGCCTTACATTTGGCCAACCCGATTGATTCTCCACACCCTGTATGGTCTCCTGAGACCCGGGTGTGGCTTAAGCCCCATTCCCACATCTCCCCAAAAAATAAAGCTTCTGTTTCTTTTCTTCTCGAATTCTTAGGAACCAGTTCCAACTGGACAACGCTGCCACCACCTCTCTTCAATAAAATTGTTATCGTCCTGATAGATGCCTTGAGAGATGATTTTGTGTTTGGGTCAAAAGGTGTGAAATTTATGCCCTACACAACTTATCTTGTGGAAAAAGGAGCATCTCACAGTTTCATAGCTGAAGCAAAGCCACCTACAGTTACAATGCCTCGAATTAAGGTAAACAGTTTGATATTCAGTAAAAAAAAAATTGAACATGATGTTCAATAAATGTTTGAACTCATCTGAAGATCTGGGTACCAAATTTTAGCAAAGTAAAGTGGGAATTGGTAATAAAACATTTTTAATTATCAGCAGTAAAACACAGGATGAAACTGAGATTTAGGATTATTGTTTTTTGTCAAGTAGGCAAACAAAGTTCGTGCTTCAGGGGAAAGTCCAGCAATTTTCTTTTTAATTTTTATTAGTGAAACACCATGAGGTACAGTTTTTTGTGCTTGGATTTCAGTTTACAATGATCGAGCACCCATCTCTCCACCAGTGCCCATTCTCCACCACCACTGATACCAGTATCCCGCCTACCCTCCCAACCCCCCCCATCCCACCCTGCCTCTGTGGCAGGGCATTTCCTTTTGTTCTCTCTCTCCTTTTGGGTGCTGTGGTTTGCAAAAGAGGCATTGAGTGGCAATCATGTTCAGTCTATAGTCTACTTTCAACATGCATCTCCCATCCTGGGAGGATTCTCCCAACACCCTTTATTTGGTGCTCCCTTCTCTATCTGAGCTCCCTTTTCCCCTAGCATGTGCGGCTGGCCTCCAAGCCATGGAGTAACCCTCCTGGTACTTATCTCGGCTATTCTTGGGTGTTAGTCTCCTATTTTGTTACTTTATGTTCCCCAGATGAATGCAGTCTTTATGCCTAAATACAACAATTTTTAAAAAATAAAGGCCACACTCATTGTTGTGGGCATCAGGGGAGCCACACCTTGCAATGCCCTGGCCAGACAGTGCAGGCCTACCAATGTGGTACCTGGATGTGGCATTGCTGGTGGGGGGACTGGGTGGGACAGGACATGGCAAAGGATGATCCTGTGCCAGGAATCAACCTCAGGCACTGGACATGCTAAGCCTAAGTATTTAAAATAATTTGAGCTGTCTGCCTAGCACCAGCATAAAGGATTTAGAGCTTGCTCCTCCTTACTAACCTGCTATCTTCTCTTTAGCCATCTGTGGGTCATTTAAATCTGGGAGGAGCCTTTAGGATTATCTGGTTCTGACTTTATAAACGGAAATTCAAACTCACTTCAGTGCCTTTGGCCATGTTGTAGTATACACAGTGACAAAAGGGGTATGATTTGGTCTCACATTTCCTTACTGTGTTTGTCTAAATTCTCTTCACTAGTCCTGAATTGGGGCCGCATGGATCACATGGCCTGCTTCCCTGAGTATCTGCTCTCTCCCTGCTTTGGCCCTTTGCAGTCTTGAGTTTACCCTGGAAAGCCCACATTACCTCATCTCTGCAACCTTTCAGGTGGCAGCTCAATTGAGCTTCTTCCATACAAAGCTTTCAAAGTAGATAATCCACTGAAGTGCTGACAATGACAAACCAATTCCAATTTTGTCAAAATCCCACTTTGTGGTTGAAATAGTTGTAGTTTTCTAGAGAAAGAGATTTGTGAGTTCTTATTAATTGAATAACAAGAAAATCTTCAGTATTGGGGATGCCCAGGTCCTACTTCAGGTTCCACTGTCTAATTCTGCCATTTCCCCACAGGCATTGATGACAGGGAACCTCCCTGGCTTTGTCGATGTCATCAGGAACCTCAACTCTCCCAGATTGCTAGAAGACAGTGTGATTAACCAGGCAAAAGCAGCTGGAAAAAGAATCATCTTTTATGGAGATGAAACATGGGTGAAATTGTTTCCAAAGCATTTTGTGGAATATGATGGAACAACCTCATTCTTTGTATCAGATTACACAGAGGTAAGTTTTTAAAAGGTTGGTTTTTAAGCAGCAATAAGGTGCTCAGGGGCTGCTTTCTACTCATTGTTTGGGGCTCACTCCCGGCACTGCTACAGGGACCATGTGGTGCTGGGGATGGAACCCTGCCTGTCCTCTGATATGCCAGGCCTGTACTCCAGCTCTTTAAACTATCTCTCTGGCTTCAGAGGACGGGTTTTCAAAAAGCAGAAATAGACTAGCTAGAACCTAATTCTCTTAATATGGTGCTCCATATGTGGCTTTCTTGGAAAAAACATATTGTGTGGGGTCGGAGCAATAGTACAGTGGGTATGGCATTTGCCTTGCACGCAGCCGACCCAGCATCCCCAATGTCCCCCAGTGCCACCAGGAGTAATTCCTGAGTGCAGAGCCAAGAGTAACCCCTGAGCATCGCTGGTTGTGACCCAAAAAGCCAAAAAAGAAAACAATACCATAAAAAAGATTGTGGCTATTATGGAAGGTAGTAAAAGTTGGTAGTAAAAGTGAGAAGGAAGTAGACCAGCCAGGTGGCTAGGGCTGACCAAGCTAATGGCTTTCAGTGCTGCTCTACTGCCCACCAGGAAGTGGGGCTGTGTCTTTCCCTCCAGGATCAGTCTTCTCATAGGGTACACATAGATGTCGCTGCTTCAGGTCCTGCTTTGATTTGACTCTTATTACGCTTAATTACCTTCTAATAACTTGGCACCTGTAGAACTTGGTCATCTGCTTTACTCTAGATAAGCCAAAGTCTGTGACCCATAACATTTTTGAGAAGAAAAACTTGCTCACTTTAACTGTCAGTGATTAATCTGTTAATTTATGAGTTTTATTCTCTGGCTTTTTACTTTTTGTTTGCTTGTTTGTTGGTGCTCAGGGGCTGTTCATGGCTCTTTGTGCAGGAGTGACCCCTGGTGCTGCTCAGGGAATCAAATGTAGTTGGGTATTCAAACCAGGGTCACAGTCTCCACAGCCACATGCAGGACAAATGCGTTCTCAAAAAAAGAAACAGTGTCAATTGCATGCATCCTAACCACTATACTGTCTTCTAGCCTGGCCCTAGATTTTCAAAGGACAGTGTCAGAAAAAAGTGTCACTTTTTTCTTGGGAGGAAAATTAAGGGCAATTCAAGCAGTTAATCCTATGCATGTTTCACCCTTTAAAGGTGGATGATAATGTCACAAGGCATCTGGATAAAGTATTACAGAGAGGGGATTGGGACATGCTGATCCTCCACTACCTCGGGCTGGACCATATTGGCCATGTTTTTGGACCCAGTAGCCCCCTGATTGGGCAGAAGCTCAGTGAGATGGACGCTATCCTGATGAAGATTCACACTGCACTGCTTTCGCAGGTGAGCAGTATGCCTGAATGCTTCCCGTGCAGCCATGGCTAGAAGAAAAGAGGCTCCCGAATCAAGCTCATAGACTGTGAACATCCTACAGGTTAACTCGGGCGGCTTTCTTAGCATGCTACTTTGGTTGTTTGTGGGGGGAGCAAGGCACACGCAGCTGTCCTCAGGACTTTCTCCATGCTTAGGGGAGTACGTGGTACTAAGAATCAGATCCAGGGCCTTCCCACATAAGCACGGCAAGGGCTTTGTCTCTGAGCCGCATCTTGAGCCCCTGCACAGAGGTCAGAAAGGAGGGACGGCGAACTCAACTGCCTGTGAAGTTGTGTTCCAGGCAAAGGAGCAACAGGGAGTACCATTTTGGGGATGGTGGGGGAGGTGGATCCAGGCTTCTTTAGGATTTCAGGGTCACTCTGATGATGGCCGCACTGAGATAAGCTGAGTTGTGTGCCTCAGCTGTCAGCTTGGAAATGGCAAAGAAACCAGAACCTCTGCCCTCAGAACTGGGGGCCCTAAAGACAACTCTCTTATTCTGTGACCTCATTATTCATTTCATTTCATATATGACACAACTTTAACCGTTGGATATGGCTTTAAACTCTAGATTTTTTTTTTAAGTGGGGCAAGATTCATATAGAAATACCTGGCTTTGGTTTTTTGTTTTGTATGTTTGTTTTGGGGGCCATCTCCTGCTGAGGGCTTACTCCTGACTGTGTGCTCAAGGATCACTTCTGGTAAGCTCGGGGGCACATTGGGGTGTCAGGGATCAAGCCCAGGTCAGCCACTTGCAAGGCAAGCATCCTACCCGCTGTACTATCTCTCCAGCCCCCAGAAATACCTATTTTTTTAATTATAAGGCTTTGGAGCCCGGGAACTACTGCTGGTTCAGTGCTCAGGGGTCAGTCTTTTTGCAGAGTTCTGAGTGGTCCTAGAGATGAAACCTTGGGTTTCTGCATGTAAAGCATGCAAGAGCTGCTTTTTGTAAAGCTACTCTGTGGAGTTATTTTCTTATCACAGTTCTTCATGTTCCTTCATCTGGCTACAGTTGAAACATTTTTTTTCCTTTGCCTTCCAGGAGAAAGAGAGTCTTTTACCCAATTTGCTGGTCCTCTGTGGTGATCATGGGATGTCTGAAACAGGAAGTCATGGGGCCTCTTCCAAGGAAGAAGTGAGCACTCCTCTGGTCCTGATTAGTTCCTCCTTTGAAAGGAAACCTGGTGAGAACTGAAGAAGGGTTAATATGCGTTAACAAGTTATACTTTATTTATGTTTTCAATGGGGGAAAGATTCTCTCAAGAGTGCTGAGGGGGCCCTAGGGCTATCCTAATAGTTCTTGACAGACAATACGGTGTCTGGAATTAGAGCCAGGCCCACATCATGGCAGGCCTGCACTCCATCCCGTAGGACTATCTCCCTAGTTTCTATTTCTGCTTTGCATGGCCTTATTTTAATTCTGGGAGTTTGTTTTTTGGTTTGGGGGCTTGTTGTTTCAGGACAGTACATGGCAGTGCTCGGGGGACTATGTGGTGCTAGGGATCGAATCTGGGCTTACTTCCTATGTGCACAGTATGTGCATTAGCCCATTAGTCATCTCCCTGACACCTTATTATAAGTTTTGTTTGTTTGTTTTGTTTTGGGCCGTACCTGGCAGTGCTCAGGGCTTACTCCTTACTCTGTGATCAGGGATCACTCCTGGTGGTAGCGATGCCCGAGGTCTTTCAGCCAGCTGTAAATCCCTGCTCCTTTCTCTCACATGGCCTTCCTGATCCTCAATTCTAGACCCCTACATTTATCTTGTCTTCCTGCAATCTCCCACCATACCCTTAAGTATTCTTCACTGGCTTCCTCTTCATGATCTTTCTCTTTTCTGGACTCACATTGTCTTCCTGAGATGGTCTCATCTGCTCCCATACCTTCCTGTGGCAGGAATGCACTTGCATCTGTCAGGGTCACCTCTCTAGGGACCTCAAGACGACCTGCCTGCCACTGTTGCTTGGTTCTCAGGAATGCAGCAAACACATCTTCATAGTGCCCAGTCTTTGTGCTTTCCCGTATTTCCCTGTCAGCAGATAGCAGCTATCACATGGCTCATTGGGTTGAAAATTTGTCATTCTTGATCTTCTAGAATAACTCTGGATAAAGCAAAACTATATGAAGCTTTGTGGCTACATTGCAGCTGTATTTGAGCCATGTTACTCACGTTACTTACCCAGTGCTGGCTTCCTGAGTGGCAAGTTCTTCCTTATATGCCCCAACTCAGCCCCTATATTTTTCTTTTAGTCTTTTTTGGCACCCCATGCTTTCCACCGTCATTCCAAGTTTAAGGTAATGATCACACACCTGATTGTGTGATCCGTGTGACTTCTGCCTCCTCGTGGCACTGCAAGTGGGAGGAGGGCAGGGCCTAGTCCACTGTTCTCTTCATCACTGAATGCCTTGGGTTTTAACATTTCTTGGAGTGTAATAGGCGCCAAAATATTTGTGAAACAAATTGAATCTTCCACTTAGTGGAGACTGATAGGGAAGATTCTCTACCTCTTTCCCTTTGTCTTTACAGTACTTTCTCCTCTTACGTATCTGACCTCCTGAGGTAAATGTTCCTCCTCTCACAGTCTTTCTGGGTACCTGCCGAGAGCCTGCCTCCCAGTGAACCCCCAGCATCCAGCAGAGCAAACAGCCCTTGCACGTGTATTGCCACAGCAATGTCTGTGTAGCTCACCTACCTAAATGCAACCGACATGCCTGAAATACCCTTTTCATCCATTCAGGCCCCTTGTCCATCTTATCCTTCCTCTGTGCGTGCCTCCCTCTCTCTTCATAACTTCTCTCCATCCACCTCTCATCCCTTTCTCTCTCCATACCTGCATCCATCCATTCATCCATTTGCCCATCTGCCCTCTTATCTCTTCATTCAGCATAGGTCTGTGAGCACCAGGCTTGGTGCTAAGCAACGTAGACAACCTTCAGCCTAGGGGCACTTTTAGTCTGAGGAGTAATAGAGAGAACTAAGCTAGTGGTAGTATTTTGTTTGTTGTTGTTTTAGGGGCCATATCCAATGTTCTCAGGGGCTTCTGTGGCTGGGTGTTCAGGGGTCACTCTTGGCAATTCTTGGGAGTTCACATGGTGCTGGAAATCCAACTCAGGCCTTCTGCATGGAAATTATGCTCTTATCCCATCGAACTCTCTCTCTAGACCAAGCTCGTGTTTTATGTTTGTTTGTTTGTTTGGTGGTAGGGACAATGGCCCGAATCCACACCTAGCAGGGGGATAGTGTGTGGATTCAGGCCATTGTCTCTGTCACTGCCACATACAAGGGTAGTACCTTGACCTCTATGCAGTGTCTCTGGCCCCAAGCTGGTGTTTTTAATTATAGGGATATTGAAGTACCATTTAATGGCTGTTGTTCCTTGTCTAATAGGGTATTTATGAATCTCTACCCTAGGAGACTTGATTGCATCTCCACAGCAATGAGGGCAGCCAATGTTCATCTGTCCTGCATGGCTTCTGGTTTGGATAACTGTCTTCAATTTTTACAGTTGCTCTTGTTTGCTATAAGAATATTATGGCCCTTAGTCTCCACTTTTCATTTTTTGAGTCAGAACTGTCCTCCTTTGGCTTCTTTCTCTCAGAGTTGAGCAATTGTGACCCACCTCAGTTTTGGACATTTTTATCACCACAAAAAAGTAACCCCATTCTCTTTAATAATTACCCTCTGAAACACCACCCAATAACCCTCTCTCTTTTTGGGGAGGGAGTTGCCTAATTTAAGCAGAGCTCAGTGGACCTTGGGATAGTAGGTCAGCTGGGCTGGTGATGTAGTGCTAGTGCCTGAGGACATGACACTACTCGGATCCCACGGTGCCAGGGACCACCAGTGCCACCACAGAGATGCTTAGGGGATCCCATGTCTTACCTCCCCAGCAAATATGAAATACGAATCTTTGTGCAGGTTTGCCCCTATGCACACTTACTGTCAATGAGTAGGACCTGAATACACGTCCTTGGGTGACTTCCTTTACTCAGGACAATGTTTTCAGGTTCACCCATATGGTAGCACACCTTAGTCCTCTTTCTTCTCAATTGTTTATATCTCATCAGGTGGATCCACAGTATTTCCATATCCATTCCTGAGCTGGTACCCATTCTCAGATGTCAGGATGTGCACAAATTCTGCACATTTACTTTCATATGCATCATTTTCTTCCTCACCACCTCATCATTTTCCCACATACACAACATTTCTATTATTGACTGACAATATAATTCTGTACATACAGAAATTAATGAAGAAAAACCTGTTTTTATCCTCTTTTGTGATTATCTTACTGTGTTTTTTGGCACTGTGCTTTTGTGGGTTTCTCTTTTATTTTCTTTTATTCTCTTTTATTTCTGTTTCTCTTTTATTCTGTTGTTTGGACTTGGGGTCAGCCATGCCCAGGAGTGGTTAGGACTTACTTCTGGCTCTGCACTTGGGGATCACTCCGGGCAGTGCTCAGCAGACGGACCATATGTGGTGTTGGGAATAAAACCTGGGATAATTGCGTGCAAGTCAAGCGCTCTTGTGCTGTACAGTTTCTCTGGCCCAGCTGTGTTTCTTGCATTAGTATCTCCCCCATGTATTCTGCGTTTATTGAGGGAAAATACAGAATTGTACATAGAAAAGGAGCTTTACTGACATATAAAACGATGAGACCAGGATATAGCTTACTGGTAGAGCATTTGCTTTGCCTGTGTGGACCCTGAGTTTAATAACCAGCAGCACAAAAAAAGCAAAGATGTGATACCTATCTGGGTCTAAAGTGATGGAGAATTTTACGTACATTTGTTGTAAAAGATCAAATTGGAGAATAATTGTTGTCCTAAACTTGCTTAGGAGCCTGTCACTTAAACACTTTTCCTTTTTCTAGGTGATAACAGATATTTGAAACACGTTCAGCAAACTGACTTGGCTGCAACACTATCGGTAGGACTTGGTGTGCCAATCCCAGAAAACAGTGTTGGCAAACTCTTATCCCCAGTTATTGAAGGAAAACCAATGAGGGAACAGCTGAGACTCTTACACTTAAATTCAGTGCAGCTTAGCAAATTGCTGCAGGAGAATATGCCATCATATGAAAAAGGTAGGTCAGTTCTGCTTCCTACCTCTACCAGACTGTACAGTCAGTCGTCTTCTTTGTCACTGACCGTCACTAGGTTCTTGGGAACTTCATTTTCCTTTTCTTTATCAATGCATTAAGATTTCCAGTTTGTTAAATATTAATGTTTCAGGAATACACTACACCGACCACCAGAGTGTCAGTGTCCCTATACCACTCTCTAGGTCCCTCTCCCTACCTCTCCTCCCTATACTTAGCAAACTCTGCTGTATAGAAACACTCTCATTTCTGTTACTAGCCATTGTTTATTCCCTTATTCCATATTTTTAATGCTCCACATATGAGTAGGATCATTCATTGTTTGTTCTTTTCCATTTAACTCACTTGTCTCAGCATGCTAGTCTCTATTTCATTCCAAGTTGCAGAAGGTTTCAGAATTTCATCTTTCTCAAAGTAGAATAGTATTCCATACCTATATCCACACATGCGCGCACGCGCGCACACACACACACACACACACCCCACAGTTTCTTCATCCAGTTAATCTGTCCCTGGGCTATTAACATAATCTTAGCTATTGTGAGTAGTATTGCGGTGAATTTAGGAATGCAAATATCTTTTTGAACTAATGTTTTGTGCCACGAAGTGAAATCTGGAGCTGGAGCGGTAGCGCAACGGGTAGGGCATTTGCCTTGCACGCAGCTGACCCAGGTTCTAGTCCCAGCATCCCATATGGTCCCCTGGGCACCATCAGGAGTAATTCCTGAGTGCAGAGCCAAGAGTAACCCCTGTGTCTCACAAGGTGTGACCAAAAAAGCAAAAAAAAAAAAGTGAAATCATTAGGTCATATGGAAGCTCAATTCTTAGATTTTGAGAAGATGTCTCCGCACTGTTTTCATAGAAACAACTGTATGACTTTCCTGCCAATAGTGAATGAGGGTCCTTTTTCCCACATCTTCGGTAGCTCTGATTGTTTCCAATCTTTTTCATATATGCCATTCTCATTCTTATTCTTCTTTTGACACTAAGCGTTAAGCACACATATGATAACAGTGAATCTTCAAATAGTGTCTTTTTGTTTCACTTTGGTCAGGGATTTTTTCTTACCAACATTGTGACAGACAGCCTGATTCAAGCCTTGCTTTGAAGACCCTTTTCACTTGGTGTTTCTGCATGATTTTATTGATTTATTTACTTATTTATTGGCTTTTTGGGTCATGCCTGGCGATGCTCAGGGCTTATTCCTGGCTCTGCACTCAGGAATTACTCCTGGCCGTGCTCAGGGGACCATATGGGATGCCGGGGATCGAGCCCGTGTTGGCCACGTGCAAGGGAAACGCCCTACCTGCTGTACTATCACTTTAGCCCCTTCTGTGTTTTTTCATGGTGAGCATTCCATCACATTTTTTTGGGTGTTACAGGGCCACATTTGTTGGTGTTCAGGGATAGTCCTGGCTCTGTGCTTAGAGGTCACTCCCATTAGTTCTCAGGAAGATTGTACAGTACCATATCTTGAACCCTCTCACCTGCAATTCTTTGAGCGATTTCCTAGCAGTACACATCACTTTCTTGCAGGGGAGGTGAAGGGGGTAATGGATTGCCATACCTGGAGATGCTCAGACGACTCCTGGCTCTGTGCTCCTAGAACTCACTGGTGCTGGGGATCATGCTGCATGTGTTCAGCCCTTTGGGCTAATTTTCTGGCTCTTTCCATCACTTCTTTTTTCTCTCGTTTTTTTTTTTTTTTTTTTAAGTTTCTATTTGACCAGAAACTCCTCAAAGCACTTGGAGAGACAGGAGTACAAAGCATCTACCCTCATGAGGCTTCCCTTCCAAAGGTGGGGAGAGGGGCCAGAGCAACAGTACGGCAGTTGGGCGTTTACCATGCACATGGCCAAGTAGGCTGGATCCCCAGCATCCCATATGGCCTACAGAGCCCACCTGTAGTGATCACTCCTGAACACAGAGCCAGGAGTAAGCCCTGAGCATAAACAGATATGGACCAAAAACAAAAGGTGGGGGGGAAAGATATCAGTTGGTCATGAGGAAAAGGGTGAACTAGGGGACGGGTGGCGAGTGCAGGTGGCAAGGGCCCTGGGGCAGACTTGGCCTTTCAGTAGGGAAATGTCTGCACATTGCACAGAGGACTAGAGGCCAGAGTAGCTGAAACACAGAGAACTGGGGAAATCCAGAAGGAGGTGGAGGCAGGGAGCTGTGAGTGCTTTTCAGCTTTGATGCAGGTATCACTCTTATTCAGGACCATGTGGGGATTTGTTGTAAGGCTTCCTATGAGGCCTAGAATCTTCATTTTCAAAGACTCTAGCAGGCTCCCATGTGGAGGCTTCTGTCTTGTGCCGTAGGAGGAAAGCAGTTAGTCTGGAGGTGAGGGCCAAACTGTAGTCGTGGAGTAAGGACCAATAGTTGTATTCTGGATACATTTAGCAGTTAAGGGTATGGCTTGTATGCACAGTATATGTAAGAGTGAATCAAAGGCACAGAGTTCTCCACTGAACATGAAAGAATGGGGGTGGGGATAGTTGTGGGAGGAGCAGAGTTGTCAGATAGGGCCTCAGGAGGTAGGATTGATTTCAAGGAAGCCATGTAAAGGAGTTTCAGGGGATCTGGACTATGGCTCAGTGGCATAAATACCTTCTGCCAAGCCTGAGGCTGCAAGTCCAAATCCTGGTACTGCCTGCACACTTGGGGCAACCGTGGTCCCTCGGCTCATGGGCTTTCAAGGGTAAGGGCTCTGCAGATGGCTCAGCGGCATAGAAAGTACCAGGACAAGTATGCAAACGAGATGGATCCCAGGTGCTACCCCTGTGCTGAGGGGACCCTGAGAGCCCCACTGCCTGAGATTCTGCAGCTAAGAATAACCAAACAAGAATGACAAGGTGGAAGGAGTGAGTAGCTCTGTTAGTTCTGCTCAGGTAGAATTAGATGAATGAAGAATTGACTGGCCTGCCCCAAAAGATAGCACAGTGGTTAATGTGCTCACCTTGTATGCAGCTTACCCTGGGTTGATCCCTGATGCTGCATTGTCCCTGAGCACTATCAGGAGTGATCACTGAACATCCCGGGGTATACGCCATCCACTACCACCACCCCAGAAAAAAATATTGACTGTGCGTGCCACATGTGACATTACTAGCAGCTTTGTCAGGAGCATAGCATGAAGAGTACTGAAATGGAAAGCGAGGTATAGAGAGCATAGATTTGCAACTCTCACAGGAGTAGGAAAAGGAACTTGAGCTCTGCACAGCTATGAGTACAGGACTGGGCAGAGGTGAAGGCTGCAGACTTCCCATGCCAGCACCAGCAATGTCAGCCAGACAGCTGGAGCTCTTTACTGAAGGTGATCCCCCTCAGGAGTAGTTTCTTATCATTAGCTGTCAGGCATTACCACATGCCATTAATAACTGAATATTTGGGTTGTTGAGGGAAGTTTTGGTTTAGATTGTTTGTTGAACCCAGCCCCATGCAAGGCAAGCACCTTACCCATGGTACTATAACTCTAGCCCCAAAAACCTGAGTACTTTGATGTGATTGTGGGTTTGCATATCCATGATACATATATTTAACCTTTTTCTCTTGTTAGAGCCTGGATTTGAGCAGTTTAAAATGTCAGAAAGGTTGCATGGGAACTGGATCAAACTGTTCTTGGAGGAAAATAACTCAGAAGTCCTTTTCAGCCTGGGAAGCAAGGTTCGCCGGCAGTACCTGGAGGCTCTGAAGACCCTGAGCCTGTCCCTGAGCAAACAGGTGGCCCAGTACGACCTGTACTCAATGATGGTGGGCACAGTCGTGATTTTGGAGGTAAGTTGGTAGAATGGAGATGTGACTGAGCAGCCCACCTGACTGCTAACTGAGAAAAGTACATCTTTGAACATATAAAATATGAGTGTTGACCTCAGTGAATGAGTGTTAGTCCTGAGTCTACCAGTGTTCAAGAGTATTGTCAGAGGGCCTCAGTCTGCATTGCTGCTAGGCATTAAACTCGCACATGCTCTGATAAGCATTGGCTCTTCCCTTTCCTCCCCTGAGGTCTGGAGACAGGCTGTTTTCAGGAAAGCCCACCAACCCAGCACTGCTGACACCACTTTTGTTTTCTCTTCCAGGTTCTGACCCTGCTCTTGCTCAGTGTGCCACAAGCACTGAGCACCAGGGCTGATGTTGAAGTCCCTCTCTTGTCCCCCGTGTTTTCTCTTCTCTTTTACTTGATGTTCCTGTTTTTTCTGGCTGTTCATGTCATTGTGTGCACCTCAGCTGAGAGTTCCTGCTATTTCTGTAGTCTCTCTTGGCTGACGGCAGCTGGAGTGATGCTGTTGATTTCTGCTCTGCTCTGTGCAGTGGTGTCTGCTCTCACCAAGGTGTTTGCCAGTGGACAGCTTCTGGGGAAGGTAAGGCTGCTTCCTAGGGGCATGACATTATCTTTTGTATCAGCCATTTCCTGTTGTTTCAGCAGTCTTTCACTTACCAGACAGTGGATGAACCCTGTGTATACCAGGTACAGAAGAAAGGAACCTCTCTCTGGACTCCCAAGCATATTACCTCTCATACTCAGTTCTGTATTGTTAGATTACAAGCTTGACCCCTTACTTGGAAAGATGTGACAGTCTGGGACTAGAGAGATAGTACAGCAGGTACAGTATTTGCCTTGCATTGAGGCCGTCCTAGGTTCAATCCCTGGCACCCAATATGATCCCTCGAACCCCAATAGGAGTGATCCCTGTCCTCATGAATACCCAAATACAGTAGAAACAACATGAGAACTGGTATTCAGTAGGAAACTTGCCACTTGAGGAACTTGGGGTATAGGACAGGAAGGGAGTAGTATCTGTGGGGGGAAGAATTAACCGGGAGGAGGATAGGGTGCTGAAAGGCGGTAAAATGTTCTGTATGAAATCCTGTCAATAATAGTACTGTAAACCACAGTGCAAACACTTATATATATTAAATAAATAAATAAAAAGCAAAGTGAGCTTCTTGTAGAAGCAGACTGGAAGGGGGGAGAAGGGGGTGCATTGCTCCAGGGAAGCGAATACAGTGATGGGATTGGTGTTGAAACACTACGCCTAAAACCTAGCCAGGAATGATTTTTTAAATTCATGGTGACTTTTTTTTTTTTTTTTTTTTTTTTTTGCTTTTTGGGTCACATCCGGCGATGCACAGGGGTTACTCCTGGCTCATGCACTCGGGAATCACTCCTGGCAGTGCTCAGGGGACTATATGGGATGCTGAGGATTGAACCCAGGTCGACCGTGTGCAAGGCAAACGCCCAACCCGCTGTGCTATCACTCCAGCCCCAATTCATGGTGACTTTTTTTTTTTTTTAACAGTACAACAGGGAGGGTGCTTGCTTTATTTATTTATTTATTTATTTATTTGCTTTTTGGGTCACACCTGGCGATGCACAGGGGTTACCCCTGGCTCTGCACTCAGGAGTTACTCCTGGCGGTGCTCAGGGGACCATATGGGATGCTGGGAATCGAACCCGGGTCAGCCGCGTGGAAGGCAAATGCCTTACCCGCTGTGCTATTGCTCCAGCCCCTCATGGTGACTTTTAAAAAAAAGTTTTTTTCTTTTTTTTTAAGGAGTGATCCTAAAAAAAAATTTTTTTAATAAATAAATAAAAGGAGTGATCCCAGAGCATAGTGCCAGGAATGAATAAACCATGAACACTACTGATGTGGCCCAAAAAGAGTGGCTGGAGCCATAGTACAGCAGGTAGGGAGTTTGCCTTGTACACAGCCAACCCGGGTTCAATTCCCAGTATCCCATATGATCCCCCAAGCACAGCCAGGAGTAATTCCTGAGTACAGAGTGAGGAGTAACCCCTGAGCATCGCCAGGTATGACCCAAAAAGAAAAAAAAAGCCAAAAGGAAAAAAAAAGTGATGTGACAGGGCCTGGGGACTGTAACAAGAGGCTGTACAGAGATGGTGATCACAGACTAAAAGGCACCTAGCTGTATCAAATACTCTCTCAGAAGGGTGCCTGCACTGCAAGAGAAGAAAAGACATTTCAGAAAGGAGAGTCACTGCTGGGACATTCCAGGCAGGGCAAGAGGAAGCCATGGGAGGCAGCCCCAGGTGCCTCTTTCTGTCGTACCCTTGCTGAACACAATGCTCCAATATTTACCACATGGTTAGCAAGTGATAGTGATTGTGTCCATGTTTTTATTTTGAGATACCAGTGATTTAACCCAGGTTCTTACACAGGAGGCAGCCTGTGCTTTACCACTGAGCCACATCCCTAGCCCCGAGTCCTCATTTTTAACTTTTAAGTGTTTTAGGCTAGTTTCTTTAAGGGAGACTAATGTAATGCTAACTGTGTCCAACTATTTCAGTGGAAGCTTTCTGGGTTTCTGGAAGACTGGTCTGGTAGATTCTGTCCTGGGCATTCTTCAGTTTTAAGTAGGACCAGCTAAAACCCGGGATTCCAGAAAGCAAGGACAGGGCATGAGTTTGCTGTTCCTGGAGCTGGTTGTCGAAAGCTTTCCAAGCGCCAGCACAGCCACAGTGGTTTGGTCTACACATCCATGGTCTCACTGTCAGCTCAGAACTTGCAATCTAGACTAAAGACTATATGTGCTATTTCCCTGACAGTGCCCTGGGAGACTGACTTGTCCCAGCAAACAAAGGGGAGAGGTGCTGAGAAGCATGTTACCTGTCATAGGTCAGATTTTATGAGAAGGAATTTATGGACATACATCAAGATACATAAAAATGTTTCGAGCTTTCTATTATAAAATAAGTTTTCTTTTTTACAGAACTCAGCTCATTCCAAGTCCCAGTGGTCAGAATTAGATCTTCTCATCTTATTTGGGACTGTGGGCCATGTCTTTAGTCTGGGTGCAAGCAGCTTCATCGAGGAAGAGCACCAGACCTGGTACTTCCTCGTCAATACCCTCTGTCTAGTGTTGTGTCATGAAATCTATAGAAACTGCTTCCTGGGTGACCAATGTGAACCTCCCTGCCACTCACATCTGGAAGGATTGCAAAGTGCCGTACCAGCTCTGCAGAACCAGGACACTGGATGTGACATGTTGAAACTCCACAAAGTGCACCCTAGTCCCTCGCCCTTGGACTCACTCAGAGGTTATGAGAAGTGGATGGTGTTGGCAAGCCCATGGGTGATACTCACTTGCTGCCGGCTGCTGCGATCACTCAACCAGACTGGTGTGCAGTGGGCCCACCGGCCTGATGTGGGACATTGGCTCACCAGGTAAGAGCATGGACTGACCTTAGGCCATACTCCACCGCTGACATTCACATCCAGAATTGGCTTTTTCAAAGTTTAGATGTATCTTTCCTATTCAGATAGTAATTATATTTGAGACCTGAAGAAATCAAAAAATATGCAATAATGCATACATGGATGTGAATTGGGCGATAGCCTATTGTTTGGGGTTTTTATTGCTGAGTCACTGCAGTTGTTTGGGTTTTGAAGCCTGTGTGTTTTTTTTTCATTGTAATTACAGCAGATACAGAGTTTTCTTTTGCTGCTTCCTCACACACGGGCCAGGGCTGTGAGGGGCATATGGTTAGGATTCCCTAGGAGTTGGTTTGGCTTTTTTTGTGTCTCCCTTCTCATCCTCCCTCTTATCTCTGCCTACCATTGAAGGGCAGCTGCATTACTTGGAACCTGGGAAGCGAGGGCTGGGCAGTGGCGGGTGAATCCTATCACAGATGGCCAGGGACTTGGTGGGAAGTATTGCAGTTATTGAGAGTGGGAGTCATCAGAGAAAACTAGGACAAAAACGAAGTGGTCATCTGAGTCATTTAGTCAGTACAGACTTAGACCACTGGAGAAAAGGGAGAATGGCAAATGGGAGGGTCCTGATAGCAACACTATCGAAGGTGGCTATCTGGTCTCAGTGTAGTAATTGCAGCGGTGAGTTGGGCTCAGGACAATGGCATACATTCTTACTTGTGGGGGTTTATGTTTGTTTTTGTTTATGGGCCACAACTAGAGGTCTATTTCCAGTGATGCTTGGGACCATGTGGTACTGGGGTATAAACCCAGAACTCCTACATGAAAAGCCTCCAACCCCATGATTCTTTTTTTCCCCCCATACCCTCAATACCCAATTTTTTTTTTATTAGTGCTAGTTTTCTTTCGTTTTTTGTTTATTTATTTGGGTTCTTTGAGTTTGGGGCCACACCGTTATTCCTGGTTCTACACTCAATCATTCCTGATGGCACTCAGGGAACTATACGGAATGCTGGGGATTGAACCTGGGTTGTCTACGTGCAAGGCAAATGCCCTACCTGCTGTGCTATCACTTTTTTTTTTACTTTACTTTAGGCACCAAGATTTACAAAACTGTTAACGTATGATTTTATGCATAAAAGATCTAGCACCACACCCTGCACTAATGTGTCCGCTTCCCTCCAACATTGTCCCAGTGTCCCCTCAATTCACTTTCCTTACCACCACCACCGTGATAAGGTCAGATGCCTAGTGAAGACCAGTTCTTAGTTTATGTTGCTTTGGGCATTTTTTTATTCCCCAACTGTGTTTGCTTGTATCCTGAATATGAGAAAGATTATTCTATGTCTGTCCCTCTCTAACTTCACTCAGCATGGTACTCTCCAGATCCATCCATGTAGCAGCAAAGTTCATGATTTTATCATTTCTTGTAGCCAAGTGTGCATAAGGACAATTGTGTATGAGTACCATAGTTCCTTTAATCAAGAAACTATTATCTGTCCTTGGCATTTGGGTTGTTTTCAGATTTTAGATCTATGAATAGTGATACAACAAACATAGTCGCCCAAATGTCTTTTTGAGTTTTGTGTCATTGAGAAAGATGCCAAGACTGTAATTTTGCATCTTTAAAGGAGTAAATTCAGCGACGGGAAAAGGGCAGTACTTATTTCTAATAGTATTGAAGAACTTCAAGTTAACAGAGTATGATTTTAAACCCAATACGGTAGAGAAATAAAAGGTAGAGGAAAAACTCAGGGTCGCAGGGGGCTGCTTCCAGACCCTTACACCAGCCATAGTCCTTTTGGAAGATGCCTGGGAATATGTATCAGAGGATATAAAATTACTTATTTCAAGTAATAATTTGACCAAATTATTCTGGTAGAAAATGCTTCCCAAGTGTTGACAACATTCATGAACCCTTGACAGATCCAGTAGTCACAGTTCACAGTTTTGGGTGCCTAATATGTCTCTGCCCTTTTTTCTTTTTTTTTTTTACTTTTATTTTGTTTGGGGGCCACATCCAGTGGAGCTCAGCAGTCACTTCTGGCTCTGCATTCAGGAATCACTCCTGGTAGTGCTCAACTATATGAGATGCCAAGAATTGAATCCATGTTGACCTTGTGCAAGGCAAGTGCCTTACCCACAATATACCATCATTTGGCCCTGTTTTTCATTTTTCACAGCTAAAGTGCCTGAAGAGAGGATGCAGGCTAACCCGGAGCTGAGATTAGGGTGTGTCAGAGTTAGGACCAGAGCCTAAGACGTGAAGGTGGGTTATTGGGCAGCACAATGGCCTCGCTTCTCTTTCTTGTTTGTTGTTTTAGGTTTTGTTTGAACTTAACAAAAACTTCCTCCTGACTTTTTGCCTGGGGTCACTTTTTGCAGTACTTAAGGCCCCTTATGCAGTGCTGTGGATCAAACCCAGGTCATGTGCAAGGCAGGCACACTACTCTATACTTTCATTCTGGGCTCTCTATTTTATTTTTATTTTACATTAAATTAGTTCCCTTCAGGAGAATTTGCTGATACTCACCAAACTCTTCCTCTAGAGGGGATGACTGCTACACTGGACCCAGCCAGTCATTGTTCTGGGTCACTGTCCCATGGTGACCTAAGGTCCCTTGGTGCGTTTGGGGCCAGTGACTGGTCCCCCAGGCTAATGGATGAAGGAATGGGGGCCACAGGGCTGGTTGGTAATCAGTGGCCATTTATTTAAATCTCTGAGCGTTGATTATAGAGAAACACCTGTTACACATAGGTATGAACAGATGTAACATAAACAGTGAACAGATGTAAAGCTCTTCAGGGGAAGTCCTAGGAGATCCACCTGAGGACAGAATAGCATCTAAAGGTTCCAGCATTCTAGATTTCTCCTAGGAGAATGGCCCAAGGGTGGAATTCTAACTAAGGATATATTGCTTTCTCCTTTCCTATGCTGGTAATCCATTTAAACCATTATATGAAATTTACTTAATATTTCTAGTCATTTTGCATGAACACAGTAAGAGATAGAGGCTTTATACCCAAGATTAAGTTTAAAGGGTGGCTTTTCCTGAGGACATCTTGCTACACTGCCCAGATTATAGTCCTCAGGCCAAGTTAGTTTTTCTTCATGGGTCTTTATTCAGTTACTTCTCAGGCCAGGGTCTTTATTCAGTTACTTCTTTTTTGGATTATGACAGAGTTTGTTCCATGACCATGCTCTTAATTTATCATACTTGTTATGGCACTTAGACTATCCCTTCTCAAAGCTAGGATAACTATGGCTTGCCCTGGGTCCTTCCAGTCCCTCAAAACGACCTACCTCTTGGGATGTCAGGAACTAAGGGCAGCTGAGGCTTTAGTCAAGTAAATATGATGGATGACCAGGAGTAAATATTATTTGGAGTCAGTTAACTCCCATGTCACAAAAGCATAGCATTAAGTATCTTTCTGTGTCTATAAAAAGGACATAAAGGAAAGAGAAAAGCAATAGTTCACTTACATATATAAAATCCAGAGCCATAAGAAGGTTTGACTTTACAAGCTACAGTGTCTGATTTGGAGATATTTGTGACTAACAAATAGGTGAAGAAGAGCACAAAGGAGAAGTTAAAGATAAACACAGAGGATTGGGAGTGCCCTGGTGGAACTGGGTGTGCCTCAAGAGCATTGTGGTGGGTGTAACTTAATTATCTAAGCTCCCTGCAAGGACAACCCAATGTTAAACCTGAAATACTTAGAACTATAATCCAACATCAACCCTTTCTTCCTTCCTTGTCCTGATTTTTCTGATGTAGTTGGTAAAAACCCTTTAATAGTGTCTCATTTGTTATCTACAGCAGTTTCTTAAGAGACCTGAACGTGCCTTCTCTTTTGTCCTGTTTTCAGATGTGACTATTAACAACCCAAGAGGGTCTATAAAATATACAGCTGATTTGTGTATTTGGGGTTTTGAGGGAGGAGCGGGGGGCAGTTTGAGGGCCACAACAGTGCTTCAAGATTACTCCTGTCTCAGTGCTCCAGGTTGCCCCTGGTGGTGCTGGGGACTGAACTTGGACTCCTGCACATGCTCCAATCCTTTGAGCCATTTCCCTGACCCCAAAATGTGCAGGTTAAAGAGCAATAACAGGCGCCAGAGCCATAGTACAGCGGGTAGGATGTTTGCCTTGCATGTGACCAATCTGGGTTTGATCCCCAACATCCCATACGGTCCCCCTAGCACGTCCAGGAGTAATTTCTGAGTGCACAGCTGGGAGTAACCCCAGAGTATTGCCAGGTGTGACCCACACGGCCAAAAAATAAGTAAATAAAAGGACAATGTGGGCTGGAGCGATAGCACAGCGGTAGGGCGTTTGCCTTGCACGCAGCCAACATGGCCGACTCAAGTTCGATTCCTCCGCCCCTCTCAGAGAGCCTGGCAAGCTACCAAGAGTATCTCGCCCGCACGGCAAAGCCTGGCAAGCTACCCGTGTTGTATTCGATATGCCAAACACAGTTACAACAAAGTCTCCAATGGAGGCGTTACTGGGCCCGCTCAAGCAAATCGATGAACAACGGGAGGACAGTGATACAGTGAAAAGGACAATAACAAAGGACTTCCCAGAGTGAGAACTAGTGCGGTACCTGGCTTAGTTTGCCAACAACCATTGCCACCTCATGACTCTTCGAAGACCCATGGTAGAAACACCGGCCACATCTTTCCATTTTTGTTCATGAGTGTAGATCTTGGCAGACGGCTACTCACACCTTTATCTCTGTGTTGGACTTTGAGAAAAACCCCTACTTTCCTTGAGGTGACGGTATGGGCAGGTGGGGAGGGGACTCGGCTCTGCCCTAAGACAGCTGCCTGCTGCTCCACACTGTCTTCCCGCCCTGCAGGGAACCAGTCTACCCAAGTTAGCAAAGAGAAGAGGGTGGTGTGGGACATTCAGGGCCCCAGGAATAAGGTGTGCCCTGATAGACACCTTATCTGTGGGTGAGGCTAGAGGGAGCCAGGCCACAGTGCTTTATTTCTGTTGCTTTGCTGGGTTTGGGAGGGGCACTCCTGGCAGGTGCTTGGGGTCAGCCATGATGCTGGCGTAAGACCCAGGCCCCTCACAGGACAAGGCTGTGCTGCAGCCCTTTGAGCCACCTCCTCAGCCCTGAGCAGCAGTTCACAGCCCTCATGCAGAGCTGAGGATATGCACCATTGTGAAAGAAATGAGAGCTCAGTTTAGCAGCACTTTATTATATTTTAAGAACCCTTGAATTTAACAATTTTCTTTACTTCATTTATTTTTGTTTCAGGAAACTCAGCTTTTATATGTATTTATGTAATATATAGAGAGGAAAAATTATACGTTTAGTTTTGTTGTAACAAAGCAACAAGCAGCTTTAATGTTCTGGCATTTAAAACTGAGTGTCTTTCCATTTGACTGAAACAAAAAGAAAATTTAAGAGTAAACAGGAACAAGATTGCAATAGAGAATGTCACTTCTAAATAAAACCCTACAGGTTCTACTGATTTTCCCTTATGACAGGGCTCAGGTCACCATAGGCAGAGCATTTTAAGTGTCATCTTAAACTGCAAGGATATCTGTAACATTGCAATTAATCTTGCCACAGAAGCCATGTTGTCAGGCTTCCCACTTAACCTAATTAAGCATCTCAAAACCACCCTTTGCTGGCTTTATATAACCTCATTTAAAAAACATTTTTCTTTTTCCATTTTCACATAGAGGCACAGTATAATAGCTGTGCCCATTATTCAGATTTCAAAGGAGAAAAGAGGCCAGAATTCTATGGTCTCCTGCCTGGTGCAAGCACCCACCAGCTTTCGGCAGAGCTAAAGAAGCAGGTTTTCTTTTATTCCCTCATAGCATGGTTGTGTTGATTCCATAAAGTTCTTGTTGAAATGAGAAGCGATAAAAATGAATTTGGAGCAGAAAGAAATTCTTTTCCTATTGCATTCTATTAAAGGTATTTCCCCAAAATTAAGTTAAGAACCATAATGTAAAGAGAGACATCAGAAACTGAGTACACAGGCAAGGGGGCAGGTAGGGGACGAAAAGAAAAAAGACTAACTTACTCCCAGAAACTGGAGAAAGTTTAAAATGGAAGAATGGAATCCATTAGTGTTTCATTAGTCATTTCCTCCTTTCTCTCCTTTTCACTCATCATCTTCATCTTCATCCTCATCTCTTTGTTTATCTATGTATTCCAATCCTTCACCATTAATGTCAAGAACCAAGTAGTATTGTAATGGATTTGACCAAATATCATCTCTGATGACCTCGCCTAGCTCCTCTGAACCTGCATCTGAACGGCCAGTGAACCAAGTGAAGAACCCTTCTGGTTCCTCATGCTGTCTCTTCCTGCCAGCTTTATTCTGCGTTTGAGTTGAACGTTTCGTCAGATCCTTTCCAGATTTCCATTTGATTTCAGTGGACTTTGAAGATGAATTGCCACTCGCGTTCAGATGAAATTCTTTAGAGAGAACTTGATTTTCGAAGTAAGGGTTTTCATCAAAATAGAAGTCTATTCTGTAACCTGATTTAATATCTTCAAATTCAGTCACCTCAACTGTTGTCAGATAGTGCAGTGCCTCCTCATCCTCCTTCCCAAGCAGTGCTGACACTTGTGGATGGTTGACAAATGTTGTTAACCAAAATTTTGGGATTTTGGCAATCACTTCTGACCTCTTCTGAAAGAATGGTTGGTAGAGTTTGTTATATTTCTGTTCTATTTTTAAAATCTCTTCACTAGCTTGTTCATTAAGTCTGTCTATTTCATTTTGTACTTCTTCAATGTGTTCAATTGCTACTTGCTGCTCTTTATCTCCCTTCTTCAAATCCCAAGAGTTTGAACCTTCCTCCATCTTGAGAGCAGCAGGCAATCTTGATTTCTTTGTTGGAGGCTGGAATGAGGCCTGGCGTTTGTGAGCCATGCCAAGGGACAAATCCACAGTATAGCCCTGACTCGGGGAAAGCAGGCCTAGAAGGAGCTGGCTGTACTCAGAATCAGCTGTTAAAGTTCTTAGAAAGCCACTTGGCTTAGATTCAATACATCACTTGGTAGGCCAACTTCTAATGCTCGGCATTTTCCATTTCGTTTCAGCTCTGATCATAAAGCTGCACTCTCCGTTCTGTCCGCCCTTTCCCTCGTCATGATCTTTGTATTGGTTCAGAGGAAGTGCTCCCCAGTTTCCAAAGTAGCCATGGCCCTGGGCCTGCTGAGTGTCTACTGCTACAGGGCAGCCATAGGAAATGTATTGTTGCCATGGCAACAGGACAACAAGCCCCTTTCACAGTAAGTGCTGCAGACATGAATCTGCTTTTGGATCTCTTAGAGTGTTCTGGTTTGAAAAGTTCCATGCACCTTCTAGAACTTGGGTTGAGGTCTGGTCATTGTTTACTTATTCCATTAATAGTTCTGGAGCCTGACAATTGAGAACAGTTTTCAATGAACCAGTTCCATTGCCTTCTATGTTTTGGTAGGAGATCTCCTACCCAGCTAAGTATAGAGTGATTTTTGTAATAAGAGGATTCTTGAACCAGGAGAAATAGCTCAATAGACTGGATGCATGTTTTGCATGTGATCGCCCCAGGTTTGATAATAACAATGAATGCATGATTCATAGTACTTGAAAACAAAATGTGAGGAGAGTGAAGCTTTCACCTAATTTCCAGAAGCTTCAAGAAAAACTCCAGCTGAGTAAGGATTTTGTCATGTATACTAATTCTCCACATCATAGCAACATCATTTGTTTTTAAAGGTTCTGTGGTAGGTTCGGCAGAGCAGTTCCTGAGGCCCTTTGTAAGGCATGAACTTTGTGTACAACTCTCTGACTTGGGCATTCTCAGCAGAATTCATCTCGAAAACAGCTAGATATAAGGCTTCAGAGTGGGATGCAAGCAGCAATCTGAAGTACTGCTTACAGCTGCAAATAGTAAAAAAAAAAAAGATTTTTGAAAATCTAATTTTAAAGCCAGAGTGGCCAGTCACCATGAGATGAATATGTGAGTTAGAATAAAGCTCTACTAGCATTTTATGATCATTAAGAGGTGGTTAGGTATTCTGTTTTCATTGAACTTATAAGGATGCATAAGTTTTTATACATATACTTATAGTTTTTTTTAAGCTATAAAACCAGATTAGAGAGAGATAGTACAGGGGTTAAGGCACACGTCTTGCATGCAGCCAACACTGATTATGTTCCCAGCACTGCATGGTCCCCTGAGAGCAGCCTCTGAGAGCAACCCCAAAGCATGAAGCCTAGAGTAAATTCTGAGTACTAGTGGGTGTTGATCAAAAACAAAAATTTAAAACAAACAAAAAAAATTCTATAGAATGTCACCAACTTACATGAACATATTTTGTCATGGGATCATAGGTAAGTTGTTACCCTTTTTGGGGGGGAGGGGAGTGCACACCCGGCAATGCACAGGGGTTACTCCTGACTCTGCACTTAGGAATTACTTCTGGCGGTGCTCAAGGGACCATATGGGATGCTGGGAATTGAACCCAGGTCGGCCATGTGCAAGGCAAACACCCTACCCGCTGTGCTATCGCTCCAGCCCCAAGTTGTTACCCTTCCTCCCTCTCTTTCTGTGTGTATGTGCGCGTGCGCGCACGTGTGTATTACTTTTTGGGTCACACCAGGTGATACTCAGGGGTTACTCCTGGCTCTGCACTCAGAAATAATCCTGGTAGTGCTCAGGGGACCATATTGCCATATTGGATGCCGGGGATCGAACCAGGGTCAGCCGTGTGCAAAGCAAACGCCCTACCCACTACACTATCGCTCTGGCCCCCTCCATATTGCTTTTCTTTTTTTGTTCTTGCTGTTCCCAGGGCCCATGGTAGTGCTGGTGGCAGTGGGGGTGGAGGAGCAAGAGTCAATCTCCAAGGCCGTGCCAGGCATTGCTCAGGAACCATTTGGTATTGTCTTCACACATGCAAGGCACATACCTTGCCCTATATTACTTTTCTAATCAGAGCAAATACCACTTGTGGTGACTTAGCAAAGCAAATGCTACTTGTGGTGACTTAGTCAAAGTAAAAGCTGAGCACTGTGGTCATGGCCTCTGTCAGTGACATGGGAGCGGGGTTCTACCTCAGAGCAGAAACTGTGGTGGAAAATCCGGGTGATTCCAAGGGCCTGGACAAACTGATGACAGCATGACAGGGTTTCATGCAAGGTTAGGAGATTCAGTGGGGAGAGTATGTTTGTGGCATAAGACCACAGGCAGTGTCACATCTGAGGATGTTAAACAGAAGAGCCAAAATGTGATAAATGAGGACAGAGAGGTAGGTAGTACAGAGGGAGGGCGCTTGCTATGGTAGATGACCCAGGTTCAATCCCTTGCTTCCCGTATGGTCCCCCAAACTACTAGTAGTGATTCCTGAGTGTGGAACCAGGACTAACCTGAGAATCACCAGACATGGCCCCAAAATAAAAACAAAAGGTGAAAAGCCACTTATTCCCTCCCATATCCATACACCTAATTTCAGTATCACTCACTTCAAGGCTTGAACCACTTAGCATACCTGTCGTGATTATAAGCACTCAGACATTGTTAGTGTCCAAAGTACAGACCAGTGCCCTGCCATTAACCTGTGCAACTTGGTTCACGTTTCTTGTAAAATGCTTTTGTTCCCCACCCCAGTTTGTCATATTTTCCAACTCACCCTGTTCTTCCCTGATTCTGGATCCTCCCTGAATCTAGACTGCCCTAACAGCTGCTTTTCTCCTTACAGTCCCCCAGTGCTGCTATCCATCGATACTTTGAAGCCCAACTTTCCATTTGGTCCCTTCTGCTTCTCCACTTAGAAACCCAGACTGGAAGGGAGTGGTGCTGCCGTGGTCCTGAGTGTGCAGAGTGACACATGGTTAGGACAGGAGGTGGCTGTGAAGGTATTCCCTCCTGCTCACCATCCAGCCTGCCCTAGTATCCTAGCCCGTTTTCCTAAAGATACGTAACCCTTCTTAAGGAAAGGTGAGAAAGGAAAGCTCAGTTTTTCAAAATATTATCTTTTTTTTGTTTGCTTAGAGTTGACTTTTCTAGGCTAATGGAATGTGATTTATGAAATGTATTAGAAGTATGTCCTAGGAACATGTGTTTTCTATAGTGAAACTCCTAGTAGTGTTATAACTTGCATCCTTTATGAACGACTGTAAATGAAGTGCTGACATGCTTCATGTGCTGAACACTACACAGCTTTCCTTGTTGGATTCAAGGGCAGCCTTCTGAATTGTAGTTTCCATTTTTTCTTAATTTGTGGTTGGTCATTGGAAATCTTAACTAACTTGATATCTAGATTCTGTGTGTACATATGGTGTGCGTGTATGTACCTATGCAAGGTCTTATAAATCAGCCTTGACCTGCTTGGTCAGCATTAGTAGACTTAGGGAAATTGGTCAGAGCTGGACATGACCCTCTTGCAGTGTATTTGCTCTCATCACAGAAGCAAGAAATGTTTTTTCTGGCTCATTCACACCGTGATGATTGATGATTGATCTTGAGGGCTTCTGGAGGCTGATGTGCAGAAGCAGACACTCCTATGTGGGTGCAGTTACCTGGGAAAGGGTTTTATGGCTTGTTTACTCAGCCAAGACAAGTACTTCTAATGGGAAGGCAATACTTAAATGTTTCTGGCTGGGACTGATAAACTCAAGTTCCTTTTTTTCCCCCCCCCAGGGGAATCATCGAGGCTCGTCTTGTTTATATCTTTGTCCTTGGTATTCTATTCACGGGCACCAGAAGCTTACTTAAATTCCAGATGGTTGCTGCAGACACCAGGGCCAAGACTGTGGGTCTATGGGAGATCTATAGTGGATTAGCCCTGCTAGCAGCACTGCTCTTGCGACCACATAACCTTCCTGTCCTAGTGTTCAGTCTCTTGATTCAGACCATCATGACCACCTTTATCTGGAAACCCCTGGCGCATGATGCAGCAGAGGTCACCATCATGCATTACTGGTTCGGCCAAGCCTTCTTCTACTTCCAGGTAAAGTTCCAGGTTGATAATGGGGGATGGAAAACTATTCACTTTTAATTTTGTTTGTTTCTTTGTGCCAAACGTGGTTCTGCTCAGGGGCCACTCCTGGCATGGTCCTCAGGATTGAGCATGTGCTCAGCCTATTAAGCTATCTCTCATGTCTCCAAAAAGTTTTGGAGACCCAACAGATGGCCCTAGCATGTAAACTTTTTATATGTTTGACTGTCCTTTTGTTCTTCCTTGAGAAAATTTTGCCATAAATTGGAAAGTTAAAATATTTTTTCCTAGAACCATGTGAGTATAACATGGTGAATTGTGCTTGACTTATTACGTATTTATCAGATACAATGAGTTCTTCAAGGTAAACTCCCCTGGTAGAGACCCAGGGATGCTCAGTGTGGCTGACACAGGTGGTTAAGAAGTCAGGTCCCCAGTGGGGGCCATCTCTCCTCAGACACCTATCAGTGACATCACTCCATCTTTAGACACAAGTCGCTGAGTGGGAATACAAGAACTGACACCAAGAAAATGGCTCAAAAGCCAGACCTTCAGTTCCGCACCCCCAGGCAGCTGCTCTGCCTCTCAGGGCCACAGCGGCAGGATTCCAAGGAAGAGACCTGTGGGGTAGTCTGGGAGGTCTGGAGAGAGACATGGGCCAGCGCTGGAATCACTGCTGCTCATGAGCAGACTCGAGAGGGGAGCAGACCTCAGATTCGTGTCTCTTCAAAGGTACAAGATGTTTGTTGCTCCTTACCGCTCAGGATTGAGGCAGGAGACATAGCAGAGACTGGGCACAGGGACACCTTTCGGTCCATGTGGCTGTCATGAGAACTAGTCAACACGTCTCTCCATCTTCCAGGGGAACTCCAATAGCATCTCCACGGTGGACATCTCCGTGGGCTTCGTGGGTCTGGGCAGTTATGTGGAAATCCCAGCTGTGCTCCTGACAACATTTGCCACATACTCGGGGCCTGTGCTCTGGGCCAGTCATTTAGTGAGCTTCCTGGGTTCAGAAACCAGCAGGTGAGTCCCCTCTCCTTCAACAGAAAAATAGAAGCTTGATTCTCTTTTTTTCCCCTGTGCTTTGGGACCACACCCAGAAGTGCTCAAGACTTGCTTCTGACTCTGTGCTCAGATACCACTTCTGGCAGGACCCGGGGCACCTTGTGTGATGCTGGGGATTGAGTCAGAGTCGGGATCATACACAGTGGGGAAGATATTGCATAGAGTGAGGGCAGCAGAAATATGTGGCATGGAGTCACCCCAAAGAGGCCACTCAGAGACTCGGCACAGTGTTGGTTAGAGAAAGGCAGAGAAGGGACTTGGAACCCTGATCTTTAGTATCCTGAGGGGTGAGTGTAGAAGTGAGGGGGGTACAGACCTTAGTGACTTAGAGTTGGTCACGGAGCCTTGTGGTTGCCTTAAACTCAGACTATCTTCATGACACAGTTGCCTGTCACCACAGGGAGGACACCGCCATAGTTTGGGACAAGTTGTCCCTGCTTCAGGCTTGCTTTTTCAGTTTTCCTGATACCTGGGAGCTAGTGTATCAAACAGCCAGAATAAACAAGCTGCCTGCTCCATCAGAAAGGATGAGGAGAGTTAGAAATGTGTCTCCTTTGTGACTCATGGTATATACTTATAATACACTTGACATATTAGTATGATAGACCATCCTGGTATTTACTAAATGTATAAACTGCAACATCTGAGGATGTGTTTTTCAAAAATGTTTCAGATTGTACATGGCAACCTGGTTTCAATCCCCTCCCCACCCCCTACACCTTTTATGGTCCCCCAAGGACTACCAGGAGTAATTCCTTGAGTGCAGAGTCAAAAGTAACCCATGAGCATCACCAGTGTGACCCAAAATAAAAATGTTTCAGAGACTGTAGAAAAGCAGTAAGGAAAATAGACCTGCCACTGGCTCCTCAGTACAAGAGAGAGACAGAGACAGAGAAGAGAGAGAGAGAGAGCACACACACGCTCCCCCATGATACAGAAATGGCAAATACTAACACGTGTTTTCCTTTTCATTGACAGCAATTCAGCACTGAGTCATGCTTGCTTCTGCTACGCACTGATTTGTTCCTTTCCTGTTTCCACATACATCATTTTAGTGACATCCCTGCGTTACCATTTATTTATATGGAGTGTGTTTTCCCCAAAGCTTCTTTATGAGGGAATGCATCTACTGATAACAGCTGCTGTCTGTGTGTTCTTTGCAGTTGTGCATCAGACCAACATAAAGTCTTAAACTAAACTATTGGAACACTGGGGAAATGATTGCGGGGAGGTGGGGTGGTGGGTTGTGCCACTGGTGGTACTCAGGTTTTACTTCTGGATCTTCTCTCAGGGATCACTCCTGGCAGGATTTGGGAAACCATATATGGTCCTGGGGATTGAACCCGGATCAGCTGCATGCAAGGCAATTGCCCTACCTGTTGTACTATCTCTGCAAGTAGGGCATTTGCCTTGCATGTAGCTGATCTGTGTTCAATGCCCAGGACCGCATATGGTTCCCCAAGCCCTGCCAGGAATGATCTCTGAGCATTTTGGGGTATGACCTGACCCTCCCGCCCCGCAAAAAGAAAAAAGATCTATTCTTAATGTCTACTATTTTCTTCACTAATTCATTCAAGTAATGAAAAGTCTTTCGATGCAAGATCATTTTTTTTAAATATGAACTTTACTGTTTATGAATAGCCTTGGGTTTTTTTTATTGTTGTACTTGAATTTAGGTTAAATGTGATTCAATAAAATATCACTTTAAAATACTTATTTTAGGGGCTGGAGCTATAGCACAGTGGGTAGGGCATTTGCCTTGCACGTGGCTGACCCGGGTTCGATTCCCAGCATCTCATAAGGTCCCCTGAGCACAGCTAGGGGTAATTCCTGAGTGCATCGCCAGGTGTAACCCAAAAAGCAAAAAAAAAATACTTATTTTAAATATGACTCATAGGGAGATGCCAAGGCTAAACAGAAATGAATGTTTAGCAGTAATAAATATGAATTATAGCACCATATTGACAGTAACTCCAGAAACTTTACAGCTTTTAATGTTCTCTGATTCTGACTTCTTAAGCCCCATATATGGTTATGTAACATTGTTGGAGGATGGGGAGGAGGGTGGCAGGGAAGGGTGTCACCAAAAATTTAGCAAAATGGGCCAGAGAGCTAGTACAGTGGGCAAGACACTTGCTTTGCAACACAGCTGACCCGGTTTCATCCCCAGCACCACATATGGTCCTCTGAGCATCATCAGTGTGAGTGACCCCTGAGCACAGAACAGGAGGAAACTCTGAGCACAGCCAGATGTAACCTAAAAACAAAAGCAAATTGAGAGAAGGTTCTGAGCATACAGTGTCAAAAGTTCAATGCTAACCATGTAACAATTGTATGGTGCTTCTGGCAGCTCTAACCTGTGTTGTATTTCTCAGGAACTAAAGGGTCACCAGTAGAAAAGTTAAAAAAAAAATACCTACTCCAGATAAGATGTAAGAGAACCCAAATAAAAGTGTAAATGAGTAGAGGTTCCAGATTTGTCTTGGGTGTGTGTGTGTGTGTGTGTGTGTGTGTGTGTGTGTGTGTGTGTGTGTGACACTCAGAGAGCCCAGCCCCTCCCAGTAGGGAGTGTCACCTGCTGCCAGGGTTTACTTCTAAGCCTCAATACCTCTTCCTTCGAACCCTTTCTATGATCAAATGGGAATTCCAAGGAGCTGTGGTTGATGTGGGCTGCACTGTCAATGATTATGGTATTTGAATCAAAAATAAGACATTTAAAGAGCAATGTATTTAGAAACGAAGATGCAGGGTGGGGAGATAGTTTAAAGGGCTGGAGCGCCTGCTTTGTCTAGGCTCAATTCCTGGCAGTACCATGGTCCTCAGGGCAATGAAGCATGACTAGACTCTGAGCACACTAGGCATGGCCCAAAATCACACTGCCAAAAATAATAATATATAGATCTATTGCATATTTCTATAGCTTATTTTTAAGAAAATGGCAGTTTTCAGAATAAAGTACATTTAGCCTTAAGATTGGTATTGTTGGGGCTGGAACGATAGCACAGCGGGAAGGGCGTTTGCCTTGCACGCGACCGACCCGGGTTCGAATCCCAGCATCCCATTTGGTCCCCTGAGCACTGCCAGGAGTAATTCCTGAGTGCAGAGCCAGGAGTAACCCCTGAGCATCGCCAGGTGTGACCCAATAAAAAAAAAAATTGGTATTGTTTTACATTTTTTGTAAATATTTTAAATTCTGGCTTAATTGAAGGTAGTTGGACTCTGCAGTTGAAATAAGTATATGTTGTTGAAGAAGTCGCCCAGATTTTGGGGGCGGGAGGTCACTCGGGATGCTCTTAGGGAACCATGTGACACCAGGAGTCAGACCTGGGCCTCCCACATGCAAATCAGGCATCCATCCTTTTGAGTCATCTCCAGGACTTTTAAATGATATTTTTGTTTGATTTTTTTTTTTTTTTGCCTGCCAGGTTTCAGTGCTCTACCACTGAGCCACATTCCTATACAGGTGATAAGTTTCTTAAGGACTGTTTTAAGGGAAAAGGGAAAACAAGTTATGGTCAAAACTGATTCTACCCTCTGAGGGCATGCAGCTAGGTTCACAGCTCTGTATCACCATCATTTTCCTGCTTTGGACTCTGGATTTGGGTTTTGTAAGATAGAATACAATGGGAACTCTCCCACATTGGCAGCTTCTTGTAAGATACAAACTTTCAAAGTAAATGTTTTTTTAGGGGCTAGAAGGATAGTATAGAGGGTCAGGCATTTGCCTTGCAAGTGGCCAACCCAGGTATGATCCCTGGCACTCCAGATGGTCCAGAGCACTGCCAGGAGTGGTTTCTGAATGTAGATCCAGAAGTAACCCCTGAGTATTGCCGCGTATGGTCCAACCATCAGCCCCCCGAAAAAATTTATTTTTTTTAAAAATGTTGGTTGCAGTGTGAAATCTTTTCTAAGTGAGCTTAGTAAAGACTAAGTGAGCTTGTTTTATTTATTAAAATCTATCGAACTGAATGAATCTTTGTCTGAGTGTGATTCTGTGACAGCAGCTTTGTTTGGAAAATAATGATTTAGTGAATTACATGGATCTTCTACATGTTGACACAGTGCATTATTCCATACCAAAAATCACTTGTTATAGTGTCAAGTCAGAAGATTTCTTTAGATACTGGAAGCTCACAGAGGCCAGCAAGTTTTTCTTTTGGGTCACACCTGATGATGCACAGGGGTTACTCCTGGCTCTACACTCAGGAATTACTCCTGGCGGTGCTCAGAGGACCATATGGGATGTTGGGAATTGAACCCAGGTCAGCAGCATGCAAGGCAAACGCCCTACCAGCTATGCTATTGCTCCAGCCCCAGCAAGTTTTTCTAGACTCTTTAACTTAAATATTTATGATGGAGAGCAAATACTATGTTTTTTCCTTTTTCTTTTCCTTTTTTTTTTCTTTTTGGGTCACACCCAGCGATGCTCAGGGGTTATTCCTGGCTCTGCACTCAGGAATTACTCCTGGCGGTGCTTGGGGCACCATATGGGATGCCGGGGATCAAACCCAGGTCGCCTGCGTGCAAGGCAAACGCCCTATCCGTTCTGCTATCTCTCCGGCCCCTTTTTCCTTTTTATTTTCAGTTTTTGGCTCACACCCAGTGGTTGCTCGGGAATGTTCCTGGCTTAGTACTGAGGTCACTCGTGGCTGAACCTCGGGCCCACGCATTGCTGAGAGTGCATGCAAAGCCTGTTGAACTGTCTTTCCTTAAATAATCTGGGAAATAGCTGCCACATGCCCAAATTTAAATGAGTTGGTTGGTGTTTCAGTAAAACTAATGTTCCTTGAGGGACTCTTTCAGCTCAGAGCCTAACCTGGTGACAACCTCATGGTCTGGGTGCTACCTGCTGCTTGGAGCATTAGCTCAGTGGGGGCTGGAGGGAGATGGCACTTTCTGTGTGTTGGGGATGTGGGCAGCAGGTGAGAAGGCAGAGGGGCACTTCAGACCACACGTGGAAGGGGTTTCAGTCTTTCTGAGCAACTCTCACCTTGTTTCAGTCAGTATGAAATGTCACTTTATTTCTAGTTATATATACCTTCTTTTAAAAAGTCGGCCTCATATGCAAAATATAAGGCAGACATCAGCAAAAATGCCTTATATGCTTCTCACCGTGGTTTGATCCCCTGCACCCTGAGCACCACTAGATGTGATCCAAAAACAATAACAAAAAAATCTGTTTCCCCTGGTGAGACTATCACTTCAACTTTCTTGTTTGTGGTGGGGCCTAACCCAGTGGTGCTTAGGACCTACCCTCAACATGGTGCTTGGGGGTCCCTCCTGGCACTGCTGGCAAAGTATGCCTTGCTCAGGGCTAACTCTGACAGTGCCCAGTAGACCAGATGTGGTGCCAGAGATTCAAATAGATTCAGCTGTGTGGAACAAGTGCTTTGCCACCTGTGTTATCACTTTGGCCTGTGCATATATCTTTTTCCATCCTTTCCATTTCAGCTTGCTATGTCAGCATTTAAAGTAAAACTCTTGTAAGCTCAAACTTGGGTCCTGATTTTCCTGCTCAGGTAGATAATCTGCTTCTAAGTTAAAATAGTTTCATTTACTGTTAGTATAATATTGGCAATATTATTTTTAGAGCCTTTTATGTTTGTTTTTTTTAGAGCCTTTTATGTTTGTTTTTTTGTTCATTGCTCAGTTTTTCTTTTCTTCTGTGGATTAATGTAACCGTATTTCTTATTATGCTCACCACTTTAAAATTAAGACTATTTTTTTTTTTGGTTTACTATCTTCCATTGGAGACTTTTGTTGTTACTGTGTCTGGCATATCGAATACTCTCGGTAGCTTGCCGGGCTCTCCGAGAGGGGCAGAGGAATCGAACTCGGGTCGGCCATGTTGGCCACTTGTAAGGCGAACGCCCTACCCGCTGTGCTCTTGATATTTGCTTTATTTTTGTCCCAGATATTTTTTTTATTAGTGAAACACCATGAGGTACAGTTATAGACTTACAAATTTTTGTGCTTGGGTTTCAGTTATACATTGGTCAAGTACCCGTCCCTCCACCAGCACCCATCCTCTACCACCACAGGTCCCAGCATCCCACCCTCCATCCCCCCCATCCCACCCTGCCTCTGTGGCAGGGCATTCCCCCTTGTTCTCTCTCTCTTCTTTTGGGTCCTGTGTTTAAGACTTTATCTTTTAAAGTAATTGAAGGCATAGGATGATTTAGAGGGAGACAGTGTGTTTCCTCTGTTACTGTTACATGAGTTTGACAAACAGCTCCTGAGCCAGAGTGATACATTATTGTTAGCTACAATGTGAGGTTCCTTAATTGCATCATACTTAAGTATTTTAACATTCTCTGTTTCTGAGAAAAGTCCAGTGACATGT